CAACGGTTCACAGATTCTCGTACTGTTCTTTCCAAATCGATACCTATACTTTCATTGAGGTTTAGTCGGATAGATCAGATCTAGGTCACGGCAGCTCGTCCCCGAGCCATTGTTTTCCGCAGTTGCGACCGCGTGCGGTTGCGTAAGCCGAGAGGCTACTGCAACCTTACGCAGTCGTATACAGCTATGGATGGCCCGTGGGACGTACGCTGAAATACCTAACTAGTTGAGTCAACTAGTTAGAATGGGCTGATTCACGTGTGATGCCGTTCGTCCAATATCATGAACTACACCCTTTTCCCTTTACACGCATTCTCAAAACGTTCCGTGAATTCCCCTATTCTGCTATTTTCCCGTCGCGAAGTATAAACACAGCTTGATGGACGTTAAGTTACATGTTTCGTTCAGAATATTACATGGACTCGAGATGGAAGTCGCTTCGTGCTCGCGCTCCAGGATGGATCGTACGCCTCCTGCGACCCTTCCAATGCCTCGACGTGCGAACGACCACCGCAAGTTTTTGGGCCATTCCCTTGTGTACCAACAAAGAAAGCCTTCTTTGCTGAAACATCCAGGTCATTACAATATTGATTGCATTCTATTTTCCAAACTAAATCATTTTTATTTCTCAATCTACCACTTTTCAGTTCGGATGAGCGAATAGTACTGTTTTCTGGAGGTATGCCTCATGCTTCGTATGGTGATAGATTTGTGGTTACTGCTCGGCAAGGTGATCGAACATGTGTTTTCGATTTTGCAAGCCCTGTCATCGACTTTCTCTTAACCACTGGAGGGTGAGATAAACTTTATTTTTATTACTAGCGAGTTTTGCCTGTGTTTCGTGCCTTGCTTCTTTTTCTTTATTTTTTGTGATCAACGTGGTTACCATTAAGACGACGGTTACCACACATGTGCTCTTGTGCTCACCGAGAACGAACTTGTGTGTATTGACTTGACTGATCGGTACTGGAGAGTAATACCTACTGAACAAATCTTCCCTCTGCATGCTAGTCAGGTAATAGTATTT